TTTTTTAACAAAAAAATTTCAAAACTCGTGAAGTGATATTTTACTAAAAGCGCGTTTAATCACTTTTATATTTTTTTTATTTTAATTTTTCTTTGTTCAAACAAAACTTTATCACCTTTATATAATTATTTCATTTATTTCATTTTACTTCAAATAATTGACTAATTAGCGCTAGATTTTTTTATAGGAAAAAATTATTTATTATTAAGAAAAACGAAAAATTATGATTTATTCAAATAAATTTGTAATGTGAGCGAAACATATTAGAAATTAGGTAAGTTATGTGAATTATTGTTAAAAAAAAAAAGGTGAATTTAACACATTAAGTGACTCGGGTGATTGTAAATCTGTAGGTAATGAGTCCGAAGAATGGGTTCGCGGCTGGTAATGGGTTTGCGGTAAGGATTATATAAGGGTTGATTGCTATTAGGAGGAACATATAAAGACTTCAAAGTATTAGCAGAAGGAGAAATATAAGAAAAGCTATTAGGAGAAAAAATATGTGAATCATATAAGGGTTGTGAAATATTAGTGGAAGGATATAATTCATGTTGATTCATATTTGAATAAATAGATACAATATTAGAGTTTTTGTTATGAATTAAATTGCTTGTATCATGATAAGATTGAGTTATTGTAGAATTATAAGAAATTTCTTCTTTGGTTTGTTTCTAAATAAAATAAAATTTATTTATATAAATAATAAATTACTTTAAAATAAATAATTGGGAATATATACATTTGTATTTCGGAGATTTTTTCTTGCTCTTTTAGTATTTCTTTTTTCTGAAGCAAAAGAATTGGTTTCATTTTGAGAATTTGATTGAAGGGTTTGAAGAATCCGTGATGGTTTACGTGGTTTCGTCACAGCTTTTGATGGTGCTCCTTTTTTAGTTTTATGTTTCAATTCTGGTGGTTTAAAAGGATCTGAATTACGTTCAGAAATATTATCTTTTGGCGAAAATACCAATCCTCCTAAATTTTTAATAAATACATTAAATTAAAATATAAAAAAAATTCTTTACCTTGTAAATAATAGGGTCTGATTATTTCATCATATGCTATATCAGTATCTCCTTCATATATTAATATATTTTTATTTTCGGCAGGAATTACTCTTTCTTTGTTTTTAAAATAAGTAACAAGACCTTCTTTTATTTGTTTAGAAAATAATTCCTTATCTGAATGTAGATTAGCATTACGAAAGACGTGCTGCATGAACATGTTTACAAACATCTCGAAATGGTAAAATATTTGTTAAATAATATCCTTCTCGATGTGAAACTTTATCCAGATGTTTTTGTTCCATTTTTTTTTTAGATTTACTATCAAATGATGAGTCTATTGTTTGAATATTATCAAACTTTCGAACATAAAAATAATCATCATGGTTTGAAGATTCAACAAATTTCAGTAAAAAATAAAGCTTTCCATAATTAAGTCTTCGAAGTTTATCAGATGATAATTTTTTTGAACTTTTTTCCTTATTAATATTATATATTTAGTTTAAAAGTTTAAACATTTAAAAAACAAAAAGATAATAATAATACTTGCTTCTTCAATTGACTTCATATCAAATAATGTTGCTAACCCTGCTTCAATTTGAAATTGTTCACTATTTTCAGTTATATTTTCTCTTTTTAATTTCACTCTATATAAACGTTCTACAAAATTTACAATAATTTGAACTCCACTATAATTTGCTTCTATTGTTCGATTTAATCGTTCTGTAAAGTTATTTGTAGTCATAATGCATTCAAAGTTCTGTAAAATGCGTCCAGCATCAATAAAAGATAATCGCCATTCATTACATAACCAATTTCAATTTAAATCAGTTATTAATTTTTGTTTGATATTATCTGATAATTCTAGTGAATTAACAAAATCCTCATAAAGTAAACCAAGTTCTTTAGATTAATTTTCAGTTCTACTTCGTCCAATTATTTTAAAAGCTAATGCTAAAGGATACCTAATTATAAAATTTAAATTTAATTAGTTAATTTTGAATTTATAAAGTAAAAACGATATCAAATAAAAAAAAATTCAAAGCAAAATTTTACCGTAATGGCCACGAAACATTTCAATGATTAAAATTTTTACCAATTATATGCATTATATAGAACTAACATTATATGATTTCACATAAATTATTATCTACAGCAATTTTTGATGGCCTATGCTTATCTATCATAACTAAAGGATTCCAAATAAAAGAATTGCATTCTCTTATTCTTTTAAATCCTTTACTATTTGGCAAATCAACATAACTCCATTTATGTTCAAAATTATCTTGATCACATGGAATATTCGTTTTTATCGCTACTATCGATAATTTTATTGTCCATTGGTTTTCTTTATTACTTATTCCTAAAATAATAAATAAATACATTTATTATTATTATATATTTTTAATTTATTAAATTGCTTCTTTAATTTGCTCATTTAATAAATACATATTTTAATTCATTAAATTGCTTCTTTAATTTACTAAATTTTTTTTATTTTTAGCGAAATATAAACAAATATTCTAATTCTTTTGAATTTTCAATAATTTTCTTACCAAAAGCAAGTGGTGTTCCAGAACCACTGTTATTTTTAGTAACAAATACCAATACTGGAGCCCTATCATTATTTAAATCATGTTTTGAATCCATTCCGATACAATTTTGACCAAATTTTTTGCCATTTCTTAGCCAGAATTCATTAGATAAAGTAAGTTGATAAAATTGTTTTTCCTCTTCAGATTGTAAAGGATAGGTTGTTGATAATATAAAATATATCCTTTTAGTTTTAAAACTTCTATAACCAAATAATGTAATATAGTTCACAGACCTGAATTTTCTTCTAATCTTCGATCATCACGCATTAAGTAAGATACAAGTTTATTATTATTACATATTTGACGTTGATTTTTTAATGTTTCCTTTAATTAATTTTCTTCTGCTCCATAAAGAGCATTAATGATTTTGATTTAACAGAATTGGCTGTACGATGATCTGACCTACGATCAACTATAATATGATCTCTAACTTGTCGTGATAAATTCAACCTTGAAATACTTGGATTGTGTGATATAAGAACGTTTATTGGTAGATGTGACCCAACAATTTTGATTTCAAGGGGTTTTTCTTTATTTAACCAGGAAAGTCTTGATCCAGAAATTACACGAACTTTACACATATGCATATTGTGATAATTTCTTAAATTATTTTGAAGAGAATAATTTGTACATGCTTCTTTAAAACTACCAATTACCTTACATTCCACATTCACAATTTCCTTCTCCTGAACAAAACATAATCCAAGACCAACACAATTTATCCTTTTTTTCTTTTGTCTCTATTTGTTTAACAAATTTTTCTCCTTTTGAAGTTAATTTAATAATATCATCAATTATATTTGTTCAATAATATCTGCTTTAATTAATTTTGCAGTTTCTCTTCGCGTTTGACATTTTAAGCGAATATTTTTTAATAATGGATGATTTATAATATACCATTCAGCAACATGACCAAAAGGTACATTTACAGTATCATCATCATTATATTGAATTAAATTTTCAAACCCTTCCATAATAAAATTTGAAAATAAGATTTTTTTTATTATAAAATATATGAAATTTAAAATAAAATCATAAAAATTTAAAACAAAATATAAAGTGATAACACAAGTTTCTATTTGAATTAAAACAAAAAAATATAAAGGTGATAAAGTTTTGTTTGAACAAAGAAAAATTAAAATAAAAAAATATAAAAGTGATTAAACGCGCTTTTAGTAAAATATCACTTCACGAGTTTTGAAATTTTTTTGTTAAAAAAGACGCATATCTGATCGTACAAGAAAAGCATCTGATGGTCCAAGTAAAGGGGTGCATATTGTTGCATAATTTGATCGTATAAGAAAATAGCACGTGATCGTATAAGAACGATACTATTTTTGAGTTTTGTTATTTTGCCCTTTGATGCACATATTATATGATCCGTCCCAATTTAGAATGTTGTACTACGAGAATCTTTTTTTGGAAATTAATTAATTTAAACACTTTTTCTTCATTCAAATAATTAAATAAACATTTGAGACGTTAAAAATAGAAAATTAATTTGTAAATCCGATTAAGGACCGAACCCCTTTTTAAATATTTTCTTCTTGATCAAAACAAAATGGTTAGATTTATTTTTTCAACTCCTGGACGAAAGAAGGAAAATATACAAATTTTCAAATTAGAGGAAATCCATAATCCAACTATATAATTTTTTTTTTTTTTTTATTGAGGTGCATAAACGTACGTCGGACTTCTGCGGTTCTTTCAAAACTTAAAAAGATCAACTAAATTAGTTAATTTCCGCCCACATACCCTTTTTTTTTTTTTTTTTTATATTAATTAAATCCTATTAAATCATTAACAATTACCGTTGTTTCAATATTGATGTAATACGAGGTGTGAATAATATAATTTCATGCAAAAAAGGGAAAACAATGTCTTGATTCCGATTTTCGGAATGATAAATCATTTGTCGGATCATCGTCTCTTGTCGATCATCTTCCGTTATATAAAGTTGCACATCATTGACCATTATTGATCATTCCCCTTCCACTTCACCTATCAACTCTTTAATAACCTTTTTCTTTTTTTTTTTTTTATTTTTAAAAAAAAAAGAAGAAAAAAAAAGCAAAAAAAAAAAATTTCTTTCCTTCTCACTCATTTTGTAAAAAACAGTTAAAAGATGTCAGAATTTTATAAAAACCTTTCAAATGATTTTATTGCGTTACTTGATAATTCGGATGATTATAACGTTGTTATTAGAGTAGGGGAAGAAGAAAAGGCGTTTCGAGCACACTCAGTTATTCTTAGGGCGAGGTCACCATATTTTAAAACAGCATTATCAAGTGATTGGGCGAGAAAAGAAGGTGGTTCTATAATGTTCACCAAACCAAATGTTACCCCTACCGTCTTTGAAATTATTCTAAAGTAAGTTAAAAAGACAAGGTCCTAATCCAAGGCCGAATCACGGGGTGGCTTCGCGTTCCCTTTTTTCACACAGCCACAAAAACTGATATCTACTTTTTTTATTTTCCCTTCCCAAAGATACATATATTCAGGAGATATAGATCTAAATAGCAAGGATACTTCTGATATACTTGAATTACTCATTGCATCTGATGAATTATTATTACAAGAATTGTTTAATCATGTACAATCTTATTTATTAACCAACAAAAAGGAATGGATTAAAAAGAATGTAGTCAAAGTTCATCGTACGATCAATTCACATGAAGGTTGTCAAAAATTGCAAAATTTTTGTTTAGAAACAATTTGTAAAAATCCTTTATTGGTGTTTAAATCGGATGATTTTTCAACATTTGAGGAATCATTATTATTACCATTATTATCTAGGGATGATTTACAAAGCGAAGAGATTGAAGTATGGGATCATTTGATTCAATGGGGTATTTCTCAAATGGATCAATCATCATCTTGTCCCCCTTCAAAAGATGTTTCAAAGTGGGAGAAGAAAGATTTTAAAGAATTGCAAAGGATTTTAAAAAATTGCATACCTTTAATAAGATTTTTTGAAATCTCCTCAAGTGAATTTTATGATAAAGTTTACCCTTATCAATCAATTTTACCAAAAGATTTAAAGGAAGATTTGATGAAATATTATTTAAAATCGGGAGTTGTTAAACCACAAAATTGGTTAAGTAAACCAAGGGTCATTTCATTTGATTCAACATTGATTAAACAAGAACATGTGGCGAGGTTATGTGATTGGATAGATAGAAAAGATGGTAAACCATATACATTTGAAAACGTTCCTTATAAATTTAGATTGTTAATCCGGGGTACGAAAGATGGGTTTGAATCGGAAACTTTTCATGAAAAATGTGATCATAAGGGTCCAACAATTGTTGTAATGCAGATAGCTTATTCGGGAGAATTGGTTGGTGGTTATAATCCTATCGAATGGTCGACCGGAGATTCTAGAATTACGACACAAAATAGTTTCTTATTTAGCTTTCCTAAACAAGGTAACATCGCTGATGCCAAACTATCTAGGGTAAACAGGCCTGGTTATGCCATACGTGTAAAAGACAAAACTCACGGTCCTTGTTTCGGTGATAAAGATTTATGGATGAAACATAATTTTAATGCTTATGATAGTTGTTCTTCTGATAAGGACGATTATCAAGATAGGGTTACGACTTTATCCAAATTTTGGGTTATAGAATATGAGGTATTTCAAGTTATCAAAAAGTGAGAAGTTTTTAACTCTTTGAACGTGTAATTAAAAAAATAATATCAACCTGCATCCAAATCCCTTCACAAATCATAATGAACAATTTCAACCGTTTTATTTATTTTACATTGCATGTATTTCATTTGTATTTTATTTAAGTTCTTTTTACGATAGTTTTATATTTATAATAATCTTTATATATTATTTTATAATAATAAAATTGGTATTACTACGTATACATGCCGCGTACTTTCACATCGTACGCGTATAATTAATATTGTATTGATAATCAAACTTATCTAAGCAAAAGATTAAAAGGTTTAAATAATTTAAATAGTATTAAAGTTCAACACGAAAAAAAAACCCCCTCTTCGCCTCCCATAAAGTAACCTCCATAACGTTCTATAATTTCATATGTCTATTTAACAATATTACCTCCAGTGACAGTATTGGAAGGTAACAATAAAGATCCTTTTACAGAAAATAAAGAAGCATCATCTTTATCATCACTCCAATATTCATCTAACGCAGGTGGATCCCCATCCAACGCCAGTCTAGTAAGATAACGTTCCCTCTCTATTGCAATTTTAACTGTTCTTGGTACGTCCGGTATCATATACGCAAATATTAATTTAATGATAAATACGAGATGCTATATATTTTATAATTATTAGATAGTTGATTTAAAACATTTTTTTTTTTTAATTAACGAAATTAAATGATGTTATTTACCTCAAAAGCAAGAACAAAACCAAGTCTGGCAACTAATAGCTCTTCAGGATTCTTTGTATATTTGTCAAATTGAGCATGCATCCATGATGAATGAAATGCTATAATTACTGCATTTGTCAATACAGATATTAATGATACTATGGACATAATTTTTTCCCACATTCCCAAATCTTGCGCTTGAAATCCAACTGGTCTTTGTAATGTCTGAATATACTATCGAAAGAGGTTTTCAGATAAAAAAAAAGGTATTAATAATTCTAATAACTAAATAAATAAAGAACAAACTTCTTGAGATTCATATACCTTAAACGCATCAAATCTTATCTCAGTCATATTGTTTATCCAAGCAAATAATGGAGCTAATGGAAAAGCTGTACCAAATAATGTAACAAACCCAAATTGAATTACAATTTCTTCATATTCGGTCCTAATGGTTTCCGAAGACGTAGCTAAACGATCATCATATACCCATTGCGGTACGTTCGTATTTTTTCTATTAGATTCTGCATATTTTTTCTCCAATTCGTCTCGTTCCGCTATATTTTTAGTTTTATACCATTTACTCATTATCCATCTTCAGAGATGAAATTTATTTACATTAGCAAAAGATTCTCTACCTCTTTAAACATAATTAAAGCAAAAGTGTATACATACGGAATTAAAACCTCTTGACCTTGTCCAATCATTTGTTTACCGACAAAAATAATTGCGAGTTGAATTGTAAGTTCATTCATACAGGTTACGTATACCTCGCACTTAAATTAAAAATTATTAATTAATTTTAACACATTCTCTATCGAAATTATTTATCAAGAAATCTACTTACATTTTTCTTAAACAACAAAATGTAAATTAAAGACGAATAAAAATTGACAAAATCAAAAAGGTATGCCTTAAGAATCAATGAATCTGAAATTTTTTAAAACGGCATATATTTAATAAAGAAGTTTGAATATGGTGAAAGTTACAGAATAATCACATACCTTCGAACTGAGTTTGAGTTTTATGATTTTCAAAATTCGTAAGATATCTTGCCACATGTCTGTATATCTAATAAAAAATAATAAACTTAGAAAACGATTCATTCCGTCCTTATAATTTTTAGAAAAAAAATTTTTTTTTTAAAGAAATTAAAATTTATTACCATGTTCAATATAATAATGGTTGCCAGATTTACAGAAGCTGTAATTACAGTTCTAAGCTTTGGAGGACTAACGTTTAATTGACTTGGGAAAATTATTAACACTCCTACAGTTACGATTACGATTCCTATCTAAAAAAAAATAATTCAAATTAAAAAATATTTACTTGTAAATTTATGGATATCACCAGATTTGAAATCTTCAAATACCGAAATTAAAACTATTGCTCCGGAAATTAATAATTTAGTTAATTTCTCTTTAAAAGGAAAATGAATCTCTTTTTTCAAAGTAACGGGGGATACACGGAGCGCTATAAAGAAAAACAATATGTATTAATAATTTTTCTGTATATATCTATTCTTGAAATTATTAACTTACTAGTTCCATAAAATTCAGGTCTTGGAAGTTCTTCTCTTTCGAAGTCAATCACGTCCCAATCGTATTGTATTGAGGCGTTGGCTCTTTTCCATGATTCTAAGAAACAAGTAGCCCAAATTGCCATTAGGAATGCATACGGTGCCGTAAGCGCGTTATCCCAAATTTTTGAAGCGCCTTGTAAATCGTTCAAATTCGTTCCGCTAAAATAATAATAAAAAAAAAGTTATAAACGAAAATAAAATAAAAAATTTTATTTACAACAAATAGATATTGTACATTGCCGCGTCAATTACTCCATAAAGAACTACAGTCAAACCTGCAACACTTGCTATTGACAACCATGACGTATAAAAGCCTATAAATAGTCGATAAATACCATTTAGCACTTATTTTTTCATAGTTACAAAAATTCAAAGATATCAAATGATTAAAAATAACCACCTAACCAAACAAAGTATAAAGCAAATTTTTCACCGAAATATTCTCTTATTTTTTCTATTGGTTGTTTCGTTCGACCTTTAACCCATAATTCGTTTAATTGAGCTCTTAAATTATATTTTTCAATTTCTTCAGGAGACGTAACTGAACCACGCTTAATTTTTGGAGAACCGTCGTGAATAGGATAAAACTTATCATAAACATGAGCCTTAAGAAGTTTGCTAATCGCTAAAGCATCTATTTTTCTTTTAACATATATCACCCGACCATTATCTAATGTCACTTTTTTATTAATTTGATTAGCTGTAATTATCATTCTATGAACCAATAAATTTCTTATTGAACAAGTAAAGAAATTCAATGAAATTTCTGCTATATTTTTTTTAGCTTCTGCTCCTTTAAACTTTCTCAAACGATCCTTTTTGAAAAAGGATGACTCTTTTTTAAGATCTATTTTATATGAAAAAAATTCTTTGAATCTAGAAAATATAGTTTTGCGACGACGTATATCAAACATTGATAAATCCTCAGGTAAACTATCATCCTAAAAATAAATATTAATATGAATAAGTTAATGAAAATATAAAAGTGCGCTTTTTAAAATTTTCACTTACGTTAAAACGAAGTTTAATTTTAGTTTGTTGAGCTTGCTCACATAATCTCTCGAATGGAGCAATAATTTTAACATAAGTATTATCTCCTTCTGTATCAATTTCGTGTTCTAGAAACAATCCAGCACGAAGAAGCAAACGTTCAAAGTTTTGACGTTTCATGGCTCGAATCTCGTATTTCTCATTATTTTCATGATCATATAGGTGTTTGACTTTATCATTCTCATATTTTAAAATGAAATCTGGGAATGGATAATCATAAATTACTTTTGCAAGCGCATCAGAATTAGGATATTTCTCCGGATCTAAAAGAGGTATTTTTATTTTCGTAAATATAGTTATAAATTTTTTTTTTTTTCATTTTTCACAATTATTTTCACTCACCAAATTTCAAAATAGTTGTCTCCAAAGTAACACCAGGATTACTTTTCACCCATTCATCCATTTTATTATATAAATTTTGATCTTCTACATTTATTAAATTTAAAGTACGATGCGCTTCCACTTGTTGTTTGATAATTTCAAATTTTTCTAAATGCTCGTCCAAATCATTAAGTGATGTTGCTGAAAAATTAGGTCGTCCTAAAATTGTATCTATTATCGTACTTCGACTCCGTTCTTTTCGATTATTTGATTTTTCGGATAATTCCTTGTACAAAGATTTGATATGATTAATTTTGTGAAAAATTCAATTTATTGAAAAAGTACATTTTGAACATTTGAAAGTCTTTAATTTCTTACTCCATCCTCTGAGATAGGAATTTCTATTTGTCTAAAAAGATTTTTTCCTTCAGACATTTTTTAAATTACATTAAAAAAAATGATAAGAATATCGTACCCCAATTGTCTCGTTATTTATTTCTGGTAAAAAAAAAATATACCCATCCAACAATTAGCAATTACAGTAGATGTAGTGTTACAAAAGTAAAATAACTCGATTGGTCATACAAATGAAATAACTATAATAATTACATCATAAATCACTTGTAAATCATAACCACGTCTTGTATTCTAAATGAATTTTCCCAAAATAAGTAAAACTTGTTCGTTAACAACCTAAAATTTGTTAAACAATTTAAAGAAATCAATCGTCATTTTTGACGAATTTTATGGAGCCTTTGACAATCGTAAAGGGGAAAAAATAAAAAATGAGGTTAAAAATCTGAACATGTTTTGGTCTAAAAATCATATTTGGCAAAAGTCGATTTTTTTTTTCCGGCAGTTTCTATTGCAAAGGTCCCATATGGTTACACGATTTTTTGTTCATTGTATAAGAAAAACTGCCGACGTGTCACGAACAAAAAATTCTCACGAGCCAAAGTCAACGATCCATTTAGGCTTCTTTGGGGAATTCTTTAATGAAATTTTGAAAAAATCCATTAATGCTATATCTATTGTTATATATTTGCCATGATATCTATATTCAATTTCAATTTTTCAATTCGATGTGAAAACTATAAATTAATAAATTTAAATAAAGACATGAAATGTTCTTTTGTAAAGTTGAAATTACATTGACCTTTGAACTAATTTTTCCTTGATATTGTTAAATGATCATGTATGCTTTTGGTGGTGTTATCAGGGGGTGAATACCTTAATTATTTATAGCATGGTACTATTCGTCGATCTGATAGTACAGCATTTACTTTAAAACAAGTATATTTTTTTTTTTTAATTAGTAACGGTAACGTTAAAGAAACATTTATTTTATTGTATAATTATTATTATTATTTATTTAAAATGTATTCACAAGAGATATTATAAAATATGAAAATCATCCTTTCGTGTACTTTTGAGGAAATCGCCCTTTTAACTGAAAAATAAAAACAGGGGTTTGGGATTTCATGATAGAGAGAGAGAGAACTTTGCATTAATGGACTCTTTTTTTTTTAAAAAAAAAAAAAAAATCATTCTTCGAAATTGGATGCAAGGTCTCGACTTGACTTAAAACTTATAATCGAGAGATTTTTTTTTTTTATTTTGTGTGAAATTAATTTTAGATCGGATATTTATTGAACTAAGGAATACTCAAAAAACAGACGCATTTTAATGTCTATTGAAAAGTATGTAGTCGTGAAAAATCCGCAAAATATGGATTTACCAAATTTATCGATAAACTTAATCAACGATTGATGAATAAAACTGTTAAAAATATATTCAAGCTTTCCTTATACGCTTATAATATAAAAAAAAAAATTTTTATTTTTATCGAACACGAGCTATTTAATTTAATTAAAATAATAACAATAATTTTTTAAATAAACTAATAATTAACAAACAGTCGAAACAGTTATTAAAGCAGATTCAAAAGTTTCATTTTCTCCACCTTCCATCACACGAGTAATAGGAAGATAGGCAGGTCGATTGTATTTTTGAATATAATCCTATATGAAAAAAATAATGTAACAATTAATAAAAATTTTGATTATATGCGGTGTCATTGTTATTTATATTACCTGAGCGTATTGTAAAGAATATTTTTTTTCTTTAACAGTAGAATTTTTACCGATCCAAACGAAAACTATAATACATCATTGTTAATAAATCATTTTCGATAAAATTAATATAAACTTTCTTCAAACGTACCTTCATGACCCGCATCAAAAACAAATACATCATTAGTATCAAACTGATCCCTGGTGATTGTACCAGTAGCTTCTTCCTTGAAAGTCAATTTGCCAGAAGAATCGCTTACTCTTTAAGCATGAAAAATTTAATCAATATTTTATTTTATCCTTTCTAACTGAAAAGGAGTATAATAAAGTAAATACCTTAAGAGTTTATGTTCAATTTTAGTCATATCTTCAGCGGTATCTTCATCAGCAGGTTTAATATCGCCTTTACTACCGAGTGCATCCCAGAAGCTACCCATTTCTCTATCTCCTTCATCTGAAAATTCAAAAGCAAAATCAATTAAGAGTCGTAAAATTTCTTTTGAAAAGGAAAAAAAAAAAATCTATTACCAATTACGATAATATTGCAAGCCCCTTGTCTTTCGCCTTCGATAGCCCTAACAAATTCAGCAGCTTTAATTCTTTCAGAACCTTGAGAATGTTTACCATTTAATTGATAAAGAGTTGTTCCAACATCTAATATAAACACATCTCCACTATTCAAAGATGTATAATCTTTTAGTACTTCTCTAACTACCACTGTACGTTTAATTTGTTTTAATTTAAGTAAACGATGGCGATATTCAACTGGTTTAAGACGATTAAATCCTGACTCTATTCCTCCATCTTCAACTTGAAATTGTTTGAAATAGGAAAGGAACAAATTTGATTCACAACCTTGAACCTTATAAAGGTGACAAAAAGTTAAATTAGAAAACTCAAATGAAATACATGAAACAAAGTTCATTAAAGTTACCTCACGATGTTGAACTGGAGAAGTTCCGAGAACTAAATATGCGAATAATCAACCAAATAAATACATAGAAAATCATCATAAAGACCTTAGTATGACTAAACTTACAATCATCTAGCTCAACAGTCTTGTATGCAGCAGTTCCAACTTCATCCTAATTGAGATTTTTATTAGTATTTTTTTTTTTTTTTTTGATATATATATATAAAAATAAAATATATTTTTACCTGACTGCTATCTAATCCGAGCCAATAATGAATATCATGGGCTAACGCTTCAGTTTTATCATTCTTCTTGTAAGACTATTATGCAATACAAAAAAAATTAACAATGGTTTATTGAAATAATTATAAATATAATTAATATAATTAAATGCCTTACATGAAGAACAATGTAACTGTCACCTATTATATAAAAACAACATATATAGTAAAAATAAGTGAGATAATGCAAACAAAAAACAAATTTTTATACAACATACCAGAATAAAAATGTCCATAATCATTTTTTGGCACTGGTACAACGTGAAATTTTTCTATGCGCCATATCCAAAGACCACTATCAAATATACAAATATAAAATTAATGATTTTATCCATCATATCGAATTGAAGAACAATACTTACGCTTCATGACCGACCTTGGTAGAAGGGTCGGCCCACGCTTGCTCTTGAGCACCAGCTTCAGCACGAACGTCTTTCTCAAGTTGAGTGCCGAAGTTTGCAAGGTTAGTAGTAGCAATATCTAAAATAAAATAAAATAAAATAAAAAAAAGATATATCAAGTTATGATGTCTATGTTAACACAAAACCAAAGCAAAATACTTGTAAAATTTACCCCACTTTGGTTGTCTGGTAAGTTTCATGATAGAAGCAATTATGTGAAAAAAAAAAAAATTTCGTCAATTTAAAATTTTCCCAGATACAAGATCTGTATTCTGTGCCATTTATAACGCCGATATTTTTTTTATATTGCGTAACGTTCGATTTCAACTTCAAAAGCTAATTTTCTTTTTGGGGAAGTCTTCCTTTTATTATCTAATATTTTTAATTAATAACCCTTTTTTTAGATTTTAATTTTATTTAAATTTAATTTAAATCAAAACAATTTTTTAATATTGCGTTTTACATAACCATATCTGCTATAAAACATTTAAATTTACTAACGCAAATTTGTAACTTTTGCATTATAGGATAAATAATTTTTATTGAATCACACTTTTTTTATTATTATAAAAAACTTCTTATCAACGATGAAATAACTCTCTCATTATTACATCAATTTTCTCTATTAAATAACTTGATTCCTTTTAGTTTTTTCTTTTATTTTAATTCATAATTAAAAATGTACTCCTTTGATATTTTTCTGATTTTTGTATTAGATGTAAACTAATATTTTGAAGATTAATATTTCTTTTAATCATTTAATATCAATAAATAACTATTTTGTAAAATTTATTAATGCCTGCCAGTATTCGTTTATATAAACTATTCTATATACTAACCATGATCATTAATATATATTACTATATATAAAACAATCAATTAGTGTATACATATAGTGAATTCACTATACACAAACAGCCCCATCAAGCAAAGCTCGAAGAAAAATTCCCCAAGCACCATTAATATTCCTATCCATCACTATTTCACATTTATTACATTTAAACAATTTGTTGCCACCCAGTTTATATTTAATAAATCCACAACAATTGCATAAAACAAATAGATATTAAAAATGATGAAAAATAAAAATAAATGTGAAAAAGAAAATAAACAACCTGCAAGTTTTACTTGCATATGCTTCATTTTAAATAATGATCTTTTTATCTAATTCTTCAGCCTTGAAAATAAAACAATTACAAAATCGACTGTGAGTCTAGGTAAGTATTTTGCAAACTGTTTTTGAATTGATTTTTCTATTAAGATGATGAGACATAACAGATCCATTAAAAGGGAGTACAATAATGACATCAAAGTTTAAAAGAAATCACAAAATAACTTTTTTATGACATTCATTAATAAGGTTTTAGATTTAAAGCTGTAAACTAGCCTGAACTTTTTTTATTGAATTTCTCTTTTTAGGAGCACAAGTAGTTTTACAGATATAATAATAATTAAGAATCTTATAAAAGAATAAAAATAAATATATAAAATAATATACTGAGAAATAAAATCATCCAAAGATAAAGACAAATGGAATATACAATTAATATCTAAATTACCAAACCAACCACATCCTTTGGATGGAGAATACTAAAACCAACCAGTTTGAATATCAGAATCAATAGCAACAATATTGAGATTTTCAGTGATTTGGATATCATTACAATTTTCTATATTTTTACCTGTTATAATATAAAAGATAAATTAATAGTAGTTATATTTAAAAACTTATAAAAAAGCTAAACATACTATATATCTAAATAAATGTCTAATAATTTAATTTTTTATTAAATATTAACTTTGAATCCATAAAACCTTTCCTTTCAAATTTGATTATTTATGATTTTATTGACGATATTCATGATGCAATAGAAAAAGAAGAGGATTTTGTCTTTATAACAACTTGTTGATTTGATAAATTTTTTATTATATAGAAGACAGATATAGAATTTAAGTGATTTACAATAATATTGAGAACAAATAGTAATTGTTTACTAATTATCCTATTTTAATAAAAAAATAATAAAAAATTAGTATTTATGATAATATAACATATTTATATAACCATCAAATATTTTTTATTTATGCTTTTTTCTTTGAAAATAAAGACAATGTATTTTATATTTAATTTTATTTTTTTGATAAATAACTTCATTTGAGATTGAAAGTAGGGCAAATTTGGGAGTCCTGGGGTCAAAATCGAAAAAGGATATTCAGTAAGCTCTCAATCACAAGCCAGAAGTCCTTCTAGCATTATGAATCCATAATATATAAAATTCAGGTTTAAAATCTTCACTGGTGCTCAATTTCGTTAACAATCTCCTTGCTATAAAATTTGAGCTTCAGAAGCTAAAATCAACCAAATTGATATATCCTTTCTAGCGCAATTTTAAACTCACCAAAGATATCAAAAAAAATATACCATTCTATTTGCCTTTGAGACAACGCGAGATTGGCAAGAACCAAAGGTTCAAAGTCAAGCTCGTGGAGTCTTTGCAAACCTTCTATGTATACTAATGTTTATGCTATACTGCTTGCCTTTGGAAGTAGACTCAAATAATGAGAAACGAAGTGACGAAATATACGAAGCTACGACCTTGACAAGCCTAAGATGTATACTAATTTTTGAGATATCCTAGAATTAATTCTAAAACTGATTCTTTGTCATAATCAAAGGGTTAAATTTTGGTATCATGACCAAAGGGAGGGTACCAAAATTTTGTATGGGGTACCAAAATTTACGGGTAGGATACCAAAATGTTGAATGATAGGAAGTAAATCAAAAGGGTCATTGAACCTATTCTAGTATACAATTGATTTCTCGATATGCAGGAAATCATTCTAGAGCCAATTCTTCTAGAAAATACTAGGGTCAAAAAGTTATACGAAAAAAATAAGTCTCACCTCTGAGGTACCAAAATATCTGGGCATACAAGATTTAAGAATACCAAAATTTCAGGCAGGTACCAAAATTTTATTAGCTTAGCTGACATTCTGAAGAGCTCTAGAGTGTAACCTCTGATAGTATTTGGAGACGTAAAACCTACAGGGTATATACAATTAATTAATTAAAGAAAGAAATTTTATAAGTGTTATATAGTAATTGTAATAATATAATAGTTGTGATACTATAATAGTTGTTCATACTTATGATAGATGTGGTAAAAACTTTCCTAAGTTATGAAAACTTAGACGTCATCGAGAAAGACAATTCCAATGTCGTCAAAAAATTATACTTAAAATTAATAAACCAACCCCCGAGCAAGCTACTGTTCTGCAGGTCATAGACCAAGAAACTGATCCAAAGCCTGTTAACCCTCTAGTGAATATGATCAATGAGAATATTCATGATCAGGAAGCAGGTCCTGGTCCAGCCACCCAAGCATATAGAGAAGAAAAGCAATGGAAGCACCCACCTCATATAAAAATAGAGCAGTTTAAAACAGTATTTGTAGACCCAAGTGGTAGAAAATTTATTACTAATGAAGAGGCTGAAAAATGAGATCAGAAACAACATGATCCTGATGAAACTAGGCTTCCAACAATAGATGAGATAAAAAAAAAGAAGAAAGGAATAGGCAGGAATGTATAGAAAACCTTTCACCTGCTAGAAGACAAGAATATGAACTAGAAAAGAAATATGCTTCTGGAAAACATTTCAGATCGATTTATAAAGAGGTTGATAATGAAATAAAGGTTGAGTCTCCTGAAGGGAATATAGTATTCTTAGAAAGGCAAAGTGATCCTGACAGACAACATCATTTACTAAAAAATATGACAGTATGGGAGGGAACTGTTCCTTCATGTAAAAATCCTGCATATGCTTTCAATAAAAAGCAATATAATTCAAAAGAATATGCAGATACTCCATACATGCCACAGCTTATGGCTTCATCACGTGAAGCAATTACAAATATTTTCCAAGAAGAGCTTCGCAGAAAAGATCAAATAAAATCAGCACTGGTCGTATATGCTACATATGCAAAATATACTTATAAA